CGAGGGATGTCTGACATCCCTCTCACAATCCAGGACTGATGGCTCCCAACTGCTTGCCTGCCTTCCTTCCTGATTGCCCCTAAGCAATTCTGCCTGCCAGCCTGATCACCCCCTAACCACTCCCATGCCAGCCTGATTGATGTCTAACTGCTCCCTTGCCAGCCTGTTTGCCCCAAACTTTCCTCCTCTGCCTGCCTGGTCATGCCTAACTGCCCTCCCCTGCAGGGTTTATCACCCCCAACTTCCCTCTTTTGCAGGCCTAATGCCTTCCAAATGCACTCCCCTACAAGCCATCTTGTGATGCCATGTTGTGTCCACTTGGGGGCAGGATATTTAAACACATGGGGGCAGCCATCTTGTGTGTTGGAATGATGGTCAATCTGCATATTACTCGCTTATTAGATAGGATAGAGGCCTGGTACACAGGTGGGGTCCAACTGGTTTGACCTGAAGGGTGGCCCAGATCAGGGTGGGGTTCCTTTGGGGTGTGGGGTGGCCTGAGTGAGATGCCTGTGGTGGTTTGCTGGCCAGCCAGCCCCCTGGCGACCCAAGTGGAGGCCCTGGTATCTGGAATTTATTTACCTTCTATAATTGAAACTTTGTAGCCTGGAACAGAGCCAATCCTCCTGCTTGCTCTGTGGCAGTAGCCATTTCTGTTTGAATTTGTTTACCTTCTATAATTGAAACTTTGTATCCTTGAGTGGAGGCCTGGGCCTGCAAGGGCAGGCGGAAAGCTTGGCTTCCTCCATTGCCAGGGAAACACCTCCCTCCTGTTCTCGGTGGCTATAACCATCTTGGTTGGTTTATTTGCATATTTGCTCTGATTGGCTGGTGGGTGTGGCTGGTGGGCATGGCTTGTGAGTGTAGCGGAAAGATGGTTAATTTGCATATTACTCTTTTATTAGGTAGGGTAATTCAACAGTATACTTTGAATTGTAGAGAAAACGCTGGGATGACATGCCTATTCCCTTACTGCCATGGCCCCAAGGGCACAGAAGTGGCTGCCCCTTAACCAGCCTAAGTTTAGTTTAGGCCAGCCTGGGCAGGATTGTGGTGTCACAGGCAGGAGTGGATCACCTGGTCCCCATTAATACCTATGCTTCCTACCAGATATTTAATGGACAAGATGCTGGGTGGGGCTTTGCCAATTTCCCCTGCCCTGCCCCTTTTCTAAGCACCTGCACAGGTTCCACCAGTGCTGCCTCTTATTCTGCCACTTTTAGAACCAAAAGCCGCTTGTCTGAGTAAAACTGCTTTTTTTTTGTTTTTTTCCTTCCTTCTCCTGCTTCACCACAACTGAGGAACACAGTGGTTTATCAACCACAGGTAGGCCACAACTTTAGCTAGTGGTCTTTGTTTAAACTTCCATGGGTTATAATATATGTAACCTTCACAAATTTTACACTTTCAGATTAGCCTTAGAATCTTAAATCTTACCCCAGTAAAATAACCTTTGGTTCTGAGTGACACAAACCCTACACAAAGCAAAAACAGGGTGCTTCTATGTTCATAAAGACAGTGAAGAACAAACTAAGCTAGCAAAGCAATCAGTAGTAACCAACGTACCTTGCAGTCAAAGAAACTCTAAAGAGCATCAGCCTGTTCCACCTGTCCATAAGCAGCTGGCCCCTGAGCAAGGTGGGATGTGCCCTATCTTTAAACAGATTGATTGAAACATCAACAGAAAACATGAATAGAAACATTCTTATACACAATATTTACAATTGCGCACAATCTACAGACACTCCACAAAGCACTCCATTAAAAAAGCAGTGTCTCTTGTCCCTGGTTAGGGGAACTGACCCTCCCTAGAACCTTAGTATTTTTCTAATGGACTATTTGGCCATGTAGCTTGCCTGGTTGCCTCATATATATTCCCCTTGTGTCATTTTCACCATTTTCTAAAGAAAAATCATATCAGGCCAATTCTATACCATCTGCAAAAAGATGGGACTCAGGCCAAGAGGCCACCCAAAATCAGTTGGGGCACCACCCCTTGAACTAGCCTTTCCCTCTACACAGGTATAGAAAGTCCCAGAAACATCCCTAATTTGTGATAAATGGCTCACCTACCCAAATTTCAAATGATGGACTGGGAAATAAAAACATAGTGAAAATGAGACTTTTAAGAACACTCCTGAGAGTGTACAACCATTTTACAGAATCACAAAAAGACAAGAAACGAGATACCTAGTAAATTAATGGGCTAACTTAACAGCTGTGTCTGGTTGTAATGGTGAGATCTCTGAAAGGCTAAAACTTTTACAGGAATGATGGCAGAACCAGCTAAGGGCTGTGATTAATCCCTGTTATGCCTGATGGGAAGATCTAGTCATGCTCGTATGCCAGGAATGGAAAACAGTTAACTGGCGCCTCCCTCACCCCCCTTGTTAACTTTGCTTAGTTTTCTCCCAGTATCCTTACTATAAAGGCCTGCACAAATGGAGACTGAGGAGTTAAGCTTAGTGGGATCTGGTTTGCAGAGGCAATGGTTTGGCTCGATAATATTTTACCTGACTGGGGTAGAAACAGAAGAGAAAGGCAGAAGAAAGGAGCAGTGAAGGAAAGAGGGAAATGCCCACTTTTTAGATGACAGCCAAATTTTAGTGCTGGCAGGCATCTGTCAGCCTCCAAAATCATACAAGAGATAGAAAAGGGACAGAGGGACAGACTCTGTGGCTACTCACCATTTGACATGAAGAGGGTTGACTGACTTATGGAGAAATTCTCTGCCAACGCACCATTTGAAACAGAATATTTGGACTGAAACCCGAACTCTTTCCCCCTCCCCACTTGAGTCCATTCTGTGGGACTCTCCCCACAAGGAGTCTGTACTTGTTTTTCAATAAATCCCCTCCACCTGCTGAAACCGGTTTGGCTCAGTGGTAGAGCGTCGGTCTGCAGACTGAAAGGTCCCAGGTTCGATTCCTGTCAGGGGCATGTACGTTGGTTGCGGGCACATCCCCAGTAGGGGGTGTGCAAAAGACAGCTAGTCGCTCATCAATGTTTCTGTCTCTCTATCTCTCCCTTCCTCTATGTAAAAAATCAATAAAATATATTTTTAAAAAAATAAATCCCCTCCATCTTTGCTATAACTGCCCTCTGTCCATGGATTCATTCTTCGAATCCGGTGGGCAAAGAATCTGGGTTCCAATGTAAAAATTCAGTTTCAGTGGGGACCAAACCTGCAAAGCAAGTATGTGCCCTTGATCAGGAATCAAACCCATGACCCTTTAGTACGCGGGCCAACTCTCTAACCACTGATTGACACTGGCAAGGTCCCCTTTTCTTTAGATGCCTTTTCCTCATTTTTTTATTCAATAAACAGTTACACATGTTAATCAATGGTCATTGGCACCAATTCATCTCCAACAGGAATCCCCAATTCAGGGTCTGGTGAAAAAGGAAACTTTCCGTGTAGCACAGCTAAAGTGTGATGTAGCATAGCTGTGAAAATAGCACAACTGTGAGGCTTAGGGCCTGGCAGGCCAGGGGCCAGCCCCTCTTTTGCTAGATAGCAGTCAGCTCCAGACTAGGGAGAGGGAGATGCAATCTTGAGTTTCAGTGGAAAGGGAAAGATTCCTCTCAGAAACAGAGAGGAGCTGGCTAGGTGGTCAAAAGTCTCCACCTTTGGTCATTAATTAACCTGATAACTGAGCGGGATCTATAAATACATCAAACATAAACACTAGCGGGAACGGGTAGGCCATATGAATACGTCCTTGAAATATATGTTGTGCCCTGAGAGGGACGGTATATATTTTTTGTAATCTTTATAATTGTTTGTAAAATTTATAATTTTTTAATTCGATGTTTCCTTTTTTTTTGTTGGTATTCTTTTCTATTTGTTTGTAATTTTGTATTTTCCTTTGTGCTTTATATATAAATAAATGAAAAATATATATTTCATTTATTTTAATTAAGTATAAATAAAAATAATAATAATATAAAATTACGTCCACTGCGTGTGACGTACTGACACGTCCTAGTGAAAGAGTATGCACCCTTTGTACATTGCGTAATTAAAAAGGGAACTCCCCGGTTAACAGGTTAATCTATCGTCATGCAAATTAGGGCTTCAAATCCTCACAGTTTGGTCCAAAAGGTACAGTCTTGATGGGTCAGAATAGAGCTGCTCTGGTTGGTTGTAGCTGCCACAATTCCAATTAAATGGAGAAAGCCTCAGTCCTATTGGTTGAAATACCGTGTTTCCCCGAAAATAAGACATTCTCCGAAAATAAGACCTACCGACAGGTTTCCTTCTGAGTGAAATATAAGGCATCCCCCCAAAAATAAGGCCCCCCCTAGGCTAAACATGAGAGATTTGGTCCACTGATTCTGAAAGAAATGGAGTCACAAGAAATTCACCAGGAAATTCAGGAATTGGATTGTTATGATGATGTTCCAGAAAATGATGACATGATTGTCATTGAATAAATGAGTAAATTCTTGATACTGTAGGATTCACAGTTTGTCTGGTTTGTGTTGACAACTACTGTACTACGGTATTGTATACAGGTAATAAATTTCCTACTGGGGATGTGCTCACAACCAAGGTACATGCCCTTGATAGGTATCAAACCTGGGACCTTTCAGTTCACAGGCTGATATTCCATCCAACTAAGCTAAACCAGTTAGAGCTAAGCACTTTTGTTTTTTAACTTTGAGCCACCAGGACCCCTTCTTAGTTGGCATCTTCTTTCTAAGTGTTCACACACAGAAAGAACCACCCCTCAATACTAATACTTTACCCCACTTACCTGCCAAACTGGCCTCTTCCCTCCATCCAGTGGCAACAGGGACAGGAAAGAAAACCCTGTTACCAAGCAAGAGACCACTCCCTGCTCCTCCACTCCTCTCCCCACAACTGCGAGCTGCCTGACTGCCTGAGGCGGGCAGGAAGCCTGTGGTTTGTGCACCAGGCTTCCCTCCCTGAGCCGTTTCACTTCCTCCAGACCTCCCCTCAGGCAAGAGTATCTCCCTGCTCTCCAGCCTTCGCCATGGCCGATACGTATGCGGTGGTGCAAAAGCGCAAGGCTACTTCAGGCCCCAGGTCAGAGTCTGGGGCATGCAGCATAGAGGGGACATCGCTCTACAGCCATGTGACTCCGGGCGCCCGTTGGCCTCAGGCACCCACAGAGGAGGGGGCACAGCTGGGCGGCGGTGAGTTGACAGGTCAAGGGAAGGGTTGGGGAAGGCCGCACCCATCTCCTTCTGGGGACCCCCACTGCTGGACCCTCTGTCCCAGGCAGATCTGGCTATCATCTGGTGGCTGTTCATTTGCTGGTCACGACCAACCGGAAGTGTCCCAGGCCAAACCGCTGGGCCCCCACTGGGTGCACTTTTCCGGAAGTCACCTTATCTGGGCAAAGGTCTAGGACCTTCCCCCTCCTCCCCTCTCCCTCAATCCCACCCCCACCCTCTGCGGAAGCCCATGAATGAAGACTGGTTTCCTGCCTGCAGTTCCTGCTGACCCCAGCCCTACTGGGCCTGGCACATATGAGGACGTGGCTGGTGGATCTCAGACCAGTGGTCTAGGTAAGTCAGACAAAGCCCAGGTTTCTGGGACCCTACAGCTTTTACTGAATTCCAGAAGTTTGGGGTGTTTTAAGGATGGTGGCATGGGGCTCTGGGCCTCAGAGTTCTATGGATGGGGCTGCAGTGAACCAGGAGAGCCTGAAGGCCTGAGGATCGCTTTGCCTAATTTGCTTACCTCTCCACATCTTAGCTTCTTCCTGAGACCCATGGTGTCCTTCCTTTCCCAGGTTTCAACCTTCGCATTGGAAGGCCTAAAGGGCCCCGGGACCCCCCTGCAGAGTGGAGCCGGTGTGAATGCTGAGCCCAGCCTGCCTTTGACCCCACATGGGTGCCTGGACTGTTGAAGGTTGTGCTCTGCTTTGTGAAGTGTTAGGAATGGAAACGCTGGGCCTGGATCAAAATAAAATTTCACAGAGTGTGAAATGTAGGGGTTTTGTCTCAGTAACTATAGCTTGAGGTGGTAGCTGGGAGATAATGATTGGTGAGACTGCACTTGGTAGTTCAAGAATGAATATCAGGGATGGGTACAACCCCAAGGACCCCCCAATTGTGAAGGGGAGGATGAACAGATAGGATTCTGGAGACTGCCCCCATCACCACATAATAGACCAGTTCAGACAGATCCAAGCTAGGCATGACAACAGTCAAATAGGCTTATTTTATTTTTTAATATATATTTTCATTGGCTTCAGAGAAGAAAGGAGAGAGATAGATAGAAACATCAATGATAAGAACCATTGATTGGCTATCTCCTGCAGGCCCCCTACTGGGGATATAGCCCACAATCCGGGCATGTGCCCTTAACCAGAATCAAACCCAGGACCCTTCAGTCCACAGACCAATGCTCAATCCACTGAACCAAACCAGCTAGGGCAAGTAGGATGGTTTTAGACAAGTGAAAAGATCTTCAGATAAGTAAAGAGAGAGATAGACCCCAATACCAGAAGACTTTCAGAGGGACAGTTCACACAGCTGGATGGATAGATATCCACCAGAGATAGACCAATAACCTGGAAGGCCACCCCCAGCAAGAAACCACTAAAAAATAGATCCCTTCCCTGGTCCCGGGTAGGCAGTCAGACAGATACCAGCCAGATAAATTCCTAGCTGGACAGACTCCCAGATAATATAAATAGACCCCCAGCTGAGCAGACACATAAGCATCCTTTTAGCTAGATGGGCAGACAGACTCACAGCTAGCTAGATGGATTCCCAGCCAAACAAACAACAGTCACATAGACAGACCCTTCATTATACAGATACCCCAATCAGCCAACTAGATTCTCAACCAGGCAGACAGGTGAACTTCCAGATAGGTGGACAAACTCCACTAAGTTACCAACTACCCAACCTACATTTTGGCAGACAAATTGTTATATACAACCAGGTGGACTCCCAGGCAGTCAACATAAGCCAGACAGAATTCCGACTACCTCCTAGCTAGGCATACATTGTAGATTAACAGATCCTTCAAACACACTTTCTACTATCCAGAGGGACCTCCAGTCCCTCAGGAAAATAGGATCCCAATGACCCTTAATTAGACAGATGGACTCAGTTCTACAGTGAGACTATCCCCAGGCATAGAGATAAATGAACTTCAAACCAATTGGTTAGTTAAATTCCAAACTAGATAGTCACCTCAAACCAGATGAATGGGTGGACCCTCTTATGGACAGATGACTGATCTCCAGTAAGTCAGACCCATTTAGACAGGCCCCAGTAAGACAGAAAGACCCTCCCCAACCAAACTGTTCCCTTGCTGTTTACACAGACTCTTTGCCAGATAGATCCCCAACCCTTGAGTAGATGGACATATTATCACCTTGGCAAACAAATCTATATCCAGCAAAACAGACCTCTAGCCTTATAAACAGATAGACTGACCCAGACAAACATATCAGCTCCTAGCCAGACAGACTCATGGACCTCCAAGTAAATTAACTAAAGTGGGAAAAATGAGCTCCAGACAGAATGACTCCCAGCTTCATAAGACACTCAGACAAACCCCTATGTATGCAGAACCCTGACCAGAAAGACAATAGACAGACACCCCTCCAGCCCACCCCACCTCCATCTAGATAGTTAGACATGCAGGAAGCCAGACAAATCTCTATCTGTACACATAGACAGATGAGTCACCCAGCTAGGAAACAGTTTCCCATCCAGATCTTCAAGCTGGTGAGAACTGCAAGTGAATAGAAAGACAAGAGTAAATATACTTAATGCTCCAAAATTCTGCTTTTGCTCTCTGAGATGTCCTTCCCATGTGATCTTCCCAATTCTATATGACAATGCCATGTTCACCCAGGCAGATACCCAGCTATCTCTCCCCAACATAGTACCCTGCCAGACTATTAGAAAGCTTTCCTGTGTCTGTGATGAGCATGGACCATTAAAGCCTTTACCTGCCACTTTCCCAACAGGCTCACATAGCTAACACTGAGTGTTTGGTATGTACGGGGACTGAGTAATCTTCAGAACAACTTCACAATAAAGATAACGAGAAAAATTCTGAGGTATGCTAAGTTAAATTACTGCAGGCAAGAGAGAGAGAAAAGACAAGAATATTTAACCAGCTATGGGCTAACTAACAATAGAGTGCTCACATTCCTTGAAACTTTGGAACTAATGTACCTTGGAACTTTGAATCAATTTCAGGGGGTTTTCTGAAAAGAAATAATGGACCACTAGACACTGAAGCATACTGCTTATGCATGAACTTGCAGAACTTGTCCAGCACCAATCAAAAGCAGTAAATATTTCTTAAGGATTGTACACCTATTCCAGAACTGCCCCCCTTCACCTTTTCCCAGCTCCTTATCTGTAGCCAATGCAAATTCTTTCAAAACAAGTTACACCTTTCTTTTCTGAAATATATATATACATAGCCAGCAACTGTAATGCCATAACGACTGGAACTATCAGTCGGTATGATGCCCACTACAGCCAGCAAACCCACACAATTTGGGGGAAGAGCCTGTGGCCTGTCCCCTTGGTCAGCCCCATTCCTGATTGGTCTCTCCCACCCCAATTGAGGACGGGGCAGCTGGCCAAACCCCCCCATGGTCCTTCCCTCCTGACCCCCCAGCTGCCCCACCCCTGATTGCCCCCATTTCAATAGGGGTCAGGTCTGCCTGACCAACTTCTTGCAGCCCCTCCACTTGCCTGGCCTCACCTCAGATTGGCTCCCTGACCCCAAATAGGGGCAGGGCCCCTGGCCCACCACCCACACCCCTCCCATGGCTGGCCCCACCCCCAATCGGCCACCCACCCCAATTGTGGGTGGGCTCTGCCAGCCAATCATTCTCAGCCCCTCCCCCCAGCCGGCCCAGCCTGATCCACCCAAATTTGTGCACTGGGCCTCTAGTAGTATATAAAAGGGTCTGCCAACTCCGGGACAGAAGACATATTGACTCCCCCATCTAGCTGTGCTGCTGATGGTTTAGGCTGCCAGAACCTGCCCTTTTTGGGCTAGCATTTGGCTCAATAAACCCTTTCAGAAAAGACTTCAGCCATAAAAGTTTTCTTTAACGGAGGTAACTTTGTTTACTTAGCCCAGGAAATTACTCTGACATTCCAAAAGTCTGATATCCTAGATGCAAAAAGACAATATAGACTCAGTTAAGGTAAATGTTGATCTTTGTCAAGGGAGATATTGGCCTAGGACATGACTACTCCCCATGACTCACTTTTAGTTAGGAAGTTATAATTTCAGACCATCCTATATGGTTAGGAAATGTCAGGGGATTTGAGAGCTGGGAGCCAAGAACTATAGAAAAAGAACAAAATACATATTATATATCACAACATATCACATACCTAGCAATGTAAAAGAACTATTTGACCTCAACCTAATTTTATAAATTTTCCCACTTTACTTTCTCCCATCTCCCTTATCTACTACCAGTGAATTTCATGTAACCTCCTTATGCCTCCAATCTTTTATTGTAAAGCATAAAATAAACTGCAAAACTGCCATTCTTTGGAGCATTTTATAAATTTTTTATGGGTTTGGAAGTTTATATCAATAATTTCCCGAACCTATAGCAGTGTCTGACACTTAATAGATGTTCAACTTAGTTTATCTCACACTATTTATTCATAGGCTTCCTAATTTCAGTAAAATATGATAACTTGTCTTACATATTTCCTTAACCTTTCCATACTAATTATTTCCTCATGTTAATCATTGCCTTAGAATAACACACCAAATTTCTTCTTAAGATATTTAATGTTGGGAGAGCAGTCCTCTGTGAGTCTCTTTGGTCCCTGAGGAGTTGAAAGCAGCTAGGCAGTTAGGGACAGACTACTGGAGAGAAAAGTAAAAGGGAGGTACAGCTGAACCCTGTAGGTGTGAGCAGAAAGCAGTTTGTCAGTCACACCCTGTCCCATGTAAAAATCATAAGAACAAAGGGCACCTGAACAGAATTTTTGGATATCATTCTGAAAGGAGTTTTGGGGATAAAATAGGCAGATTTAGGAAATTTTAGGAATTAAAAGGTCCTTGGGAAAACCACAGGGCTGCAAAGCTGGGAGCTGCTAGAGGTATGCATTTCCATAGGATAGGTAGCTGAGAGCTGCAGAAAGTATACATTTACAGAATAAAGGGAAGGGAAGATAAAGGCTATAGGGAATAGAAAAACAATAAGGGAGAAGGGGAAGGGAACCTCATGTTGGATTTGAACTCTGAAGCTGCTATAGTGTCTAATCAGAGGAGATATCAAGACATAAAGAACTGCAGTCTTTATAAACTTTAGAAAAATGAACTAGGTGGGACCCCCCCACACACACATGGGAGTTTGTGCTTGTTTCTCAATAAATTTCCGACTTTCCCTATACCACCTTTTGTCTGTGGTTTCATTCGTTGACTCTACCTGGACAAGAACTCAGGAATCATGCTGCCCAGAAGAATAACACAGGTTCCAGTTCACTTTGTGAGTTTCAATTCCTACACATCTCTGCTGGGTGTAGTTAATAGAATAGGCAGCTAGACAGGCATGAGAAAACCAGGTACAGAATGTCACCAGGGTAGAATGTTCTGGTTGCCTAGCAATAGGAAAAAAGTTATAAAGACTAAGACCTTACTTCCAGGGTGACCTTTCTCCCCTAGCATGTCTCTAGTCATGAAGTTTAGACACCTCTTAGATGAGGAACAAAGGGGCTAGAAAACAGCCTCATATGACTCCCATACAAGCCCTTGCTTAACCACTCCCTTAATGTTTATTAAGTTACCAGAATAATGAGGTTCTGATCTATCTACATTAATAAAAGAGAAACATTCAAATTGACCATACCTCT